ATACGTGGGCCTCTCACTGCTGTGGCCTCTCCCGTTGCGGAGCACAGGCTCCGGACGCGCAGGCTCAGCGACCATGGCTCACGGGCCCAGCCGCTCCGCGGCATGTGGGATCTTCCCGGACCGGGGCACGAACCCGTGTCTCCTGCATCGTCAGGTGGACTCTCAACCACTGCACCACCAGGGAAGCCCTCCAATCACTGCTTTTAACTGTGTTTTGTCAGCTTCCCATTTCCCCATTGGATACTTGTCCTTTAACATCAGGACCAGATTCCAGATTCCACAACCTGGTCATTAAAATGGTCTCATGTTTGGTGTACAAGACCCAGTTCTGTTCATGTTTAAAGCTACAGTCATCAGAGCTTGGGTCCCCCTGTCAGCAGAGGCCGCTGCTTGGACTGGGAGGGTTAGGGATGTGCTGTGCTAGTGTGTGGCCCCTCCCTCTCCTTCCGGTTTCCTAGAGTCCTGAGGGAGGCAGGGGAGGGGATGGGGGTCCGGGCTTTCTTGGCTCAGCCGGGGGCCAGTGACCATTTGCTGATGTGATGTGGGTAGTGTCTGTTCTGGCGCCATCTCGGAGGCATCTAGGAATTTCCCTGCCGGCTGCTCCGTTAGCTGCGTGGCTCAATCAGGAAAACTTCCTGGAAAAGTACATCTTAAGGAGACAGCTATGAAATGCCGGGGGTGGGGAGGGCTTTCCTGCAGTACGAGTATTCATTTACTATTTCTTGCCCCTGCAAGGCCCAGAGTCTCTTCAGAGATATTTCAGTGGATGGGATAAGGCCCCATCGCCTCAAACTCCACAAAGAAGGCCCTGGAGCCTCAGATGCAAAGAATTGCTCACAAAAAAGTTTGCAATTAATTTTTATGGGAAACTAACAGATGTGTGGACACGGGGTGGGGGGACGGGGAGGGTGGGATGAACTGGGAGATTAGGTTTGACATAAATACACTACCAGGTGTAAAACAGATAGCTAGTGGGAACTTGCATATAGCACAGGGAGCTCAGCTTGGTGCTCTGTGATGACTTAGATGGGCGGGATGTGGGGGGATGGGAGGGAGGTCCAAGAGGGAAGGGATACATGTATACATATAGCTGATTCATTTTGTTGTACAGCAGAAACTAACACAACATTGTAAAGCAATTATACTCCAATAAAAAAAAATCCTTTCTGAAGTAGGAAGCAGGCATTATGAAAGTGTTCATTTCCACCAGTAGGTTCTGCTTTGAACTTTTTCAGCGTTTATTGGTTTAGTCTATTTCTCCCTCTCCCATCTTCAGTGCCCCACTCGCTCCTCATTCAGGAGGATTTCTGCTTTCTTAGTGGTTTCCTTTGAAATCTTTTTTTTTTTTTTTTTAAGCATGTGCACTTAACTAAACAAATTCTAAAGGTAATCAGTAATCTTATGCTCGACCTGAAAAATACTGTGCCTTTAGAATGTTCCTTGTTAAATGATATTCTTATCTTGAGTTTTAGTTCTATCTTGACTTATTTCAACCCCATAAATTAGATATTTTATTTTTTTCGTATACTCAGTGTTTGTTTAAATTTACCTATGTTTTTATTAACGGGTAAAAAGCTCTCCTTTTCTTCCTGTAGTTCAGGCCTTCTTTCTGATATCCTTTTTCTTCTTTTTTGAGGTACATCCTTTAAACATTTCTTTAATCGTAAAGATCTCTTGGTGGTAGACCTTCTTAGTTTTAATTAATTAATTAATTAATTAATTATTTGCGGTACGTGGGCCTCTCACTGCTGTAGCCTCTCCCGTTGCGGAGCAAAGGCTCCGGACGCGCAGGCTCAGCGGCCATGGCTCACGGGCCCAGCCGCTCCGCGGCATGTGGGATCTTGCCGGA